CTGTGTGTGTGTGTGTGTGTGTGTGTGTGTGTGTGTGTGTGTGTGTGTGTGTGTGTTTAAAATGAATATGCTGCATCTGAAATGTACTTGAGCATCACTGTTTCCTTGCTATGATTAGCCATGCAAACTCTGATCAGTTTTCCACTTTTCTACCTGCATTACAGAATCAAAACCAAGTTGTCAAGGTTAATCTTGTTACCTGTTCCATTTCTTTTTTTGGATATTGAAACTTTTAAGTTGTCCTATTCTTATTTAGAAGAATATTATTTGTCCACTGATAGTGTAAACTGTGTTGTCTAATGCAGAAACTTCATATTGTAGGTAAATGCACAGGAGGGAATCCTGCACGCTTCTGGAAATGGGATACCCCCATTAACAAAGGATTACTGCATAAGTTACAATCCTTCATGGGTATCTCTTCCAAATACCCTGGATAACATTGTAAGTAGTTACGTAGCTATACTGTCTAAGAATTATAAAACCAAGAACAGTTTTGGATCAAGTGGAATTTCTAGGAGAAATTACTGAGTAAAATCAATGCTATGTTAAATGTATACCCCAAATTAAAAAACATAGAGGACCAAAAAAGTGCCACCGTGGCTAAACAACTAAGAAACGGTTAGAGGCAAAAAGGCATCCTTTAAAAATTGGAAGCTAAATCCTATTGAGGAAAATAGAAAGAAGCATAAACTCTGGCAAGTCAAGTTTAAAGGTATAATTAGGAAGGCCAAAAAAGATTTGAAGAGCAACTAGCCAAAGACTCAAAAACAAACATCAAAAAATTTAAGTACATCAGAAGCAGGAAGTTTGCTAAACAATCGGTGGGGCTACTGGACGATCAAGTTCTTAAAGGAGCACTCAAGGAAGATAAAATCATTGCAGAGAAACTAAATATGCTTTGCATCAGTCTTCACTGCAGAGATGTGAGGGAGATTCCCACACCTGAGCCATTGTTTTTAGGTGACAAATCTGAGGAACTGTCCCAGACTGAGATGTCATTAGAGGAGGTTTTGGAACAAATTGATAAATTTAACAGTAGTAAATCACCAGGACCAGATGATATTCACCCAGAGTTCTGAAGGAACTCAAATATGAAATTGCAGAACTACTAACTGTGGTATGTAACCTATCATGTAAATCAGTTTCCCAGATGCCTAGAGGATAGCTAATGTGACCACCAATTTTTAAAAAAGGTTCCAGAGGCGATCCCAGCAATTACAGGCTGGTAAGCCTAACTTCAGTACCAGCCAAACTGGTTGAAACTGTAATAAAGAACAGAATTATCAAACACACAGATGAACACAATTTGTTGGGCAAAAGTCAATATGGCTTTGGTAAAGGGAAATCATGCCTCACCTATCTATTAGAATTCTTTGAGGGAGTCAACAAACATGGACAAGAGTGATCCAGTGGATATAGTGTACTTAGACTTTCAGAAAGCCTTTGACAATGTCCCTCACCAAAGGCTCTTAAGCAAATTAAGCAGTCATGGGATAAGAGGGAAGGTCTTCTCATGGATCAGTAACTGATAAAAAGATAGGAACCAAGGATAGGAATAAATGGTCAGTTTTCATAACGGAGAGAGGTAAATAGTGGTATCCCCCAGGGGTCTGTACTGGGACAAATACTGATCAACATATTCATAAATTATCTGAAAAGGGGGTAAACAATGAGATGGCAAAATTTGCAGATGATACAAAATTACGTAAGATAGTTAAGTCCAAAGCAGACTGCAAAGAGTTACAAAGGGATCTCACAAAACTGGGTAACTGGGCAACAAAATGGCAGATGAAATTCAGTATTGATAAATGCAAAGTAATGCACATTGGAAAACATAATCTGTACTAGACATACAAAATGATGGGGTCTAAATTAGGTGTTACCACTCAAGAAACAGATCTTGGAGTCATTGTAGATAGTTCTCTGAAAACATCTGCTCAATGTGCAGTGGCAGTCAAAAAAGCTAACAGAATATTAAGAACCATTAGGAAAGAGACAGATAAGACAGAAAATATCATAATGCCTCTATATAAATTCATGGTATACCCACATCTTGAATACTGCATGCAAATCTGGTTGCCTCATCTCAAGAAAGATATATTGGAATTGGAAAAGGAACAGAGAAGGGCAACTAAAATGATTAGGGATATGGAACAGCTTCTGTATGAGGAGAGATTAAAAAGACTGGGACTTCAGCTTGGCGAAGAAAAAAGAACTAGATAAGTTCCTGGAGGATAGATCCATCAATAGCTATTAGCCAGGAGGGCGGGGCTGCAACACCATGCTCTGAGTGTCCCTACCTTCTGTTCGCCAGGAGCTGGGAGTGGGCAACAGGGGATGGACCATTTGATGATTACCTGTTTTGTTCATTCCCTCTGGGGCACCTGTCACTGGCAATTGTCAGAAGATAGGATACTGGGCTAGGTGAACCATTGGTCTGACCCACTATGGCCGTTCTTATGTTCTATGTTCTCATTAGGATAACTTCTAAATGGGTGCCACTGCTTATTTGCTGTCAAAAATAATCATAAAAAAGAATTTTTTAAATTTAGCACTGTGAATATATATTTAAGAGTAAGCCCAACTTCCACAATATCCCAAATGATATTGTCATGCTGTTTAGACACCAAATTTTAATGTTTTTAAAAAACCTTTCAAAGCCTAATATTGAAATGCATTAATGAAAGTTGAGAGAAATAATCAGCAAAGTTTCATGTTTAGATTTAAACACTCATCTACTCCCCAAGTGTTCATAACTCTGATATTTTAGTATCAAGTCAGTTCTTGGCAAAAAAAAGTTAAAACGGTTATAAAAGAAAGTGTAATTGACTTTTGTTGTTTTCCAGACTGAATGAATCTCAAAAAAATAACTGTCAAAATGGAGAAAAATGAACTAGATTTTAAAAATATTTTAGTTAAGTGTTCTTGGAGACACTTTGAGTGAAGTGATTTTGTATGGAATACACCTTATTTTAGAACTTGATCTGTTTAAAACAAGAATTGCCAATATTGATCAGCATGTGCATTTGGGTAAAATGTTAAAATATATTTACTTGCAAATGGGTTTTCAGGTGGCAGCATTTTAATCATTATTTGGAATTTATATCGCCATGCCTTACTCTTGGTCAAAACTTCTCCTTGAGCCAAGATTAGAAAAATCGCACATATATATGTTAAAGCGTTTTTTTTCCTTTCCTTTTGCTACCCTTGATGTGATTGGTAAATGCTATAGGTTTGGAAATAATCAAGAGAAATATTCTTTCCCTTGATTGGCTTGCTAAACCTAGGGTTGTGAGTTCAATCCTTGAGAGGGCCATTTAGGGATCTGGGGCAAAAATCTGTCTGGGGATTGGTCCTGGTTTGGACTAGATGACTTCCTGAGGTCCCTTCCAACCCTGATATTCTATGATTCATAAACAAGGCTGACTCTGTACAAAACCAGGGGAAGTGTAACAGCCATTTTTCTGTCAAGGACCTACTGTGCCAAACATAACTTGACTAGCCAAAGAAAACAGCTTTTTTTTTAAATATGACTTAATAAATGTTTTTAAAACTAAAATTAAATATACAGAAAAATTATTTAAACTACTAGTACTTTGTTTTAGGGCTAGCCTACTGTCTTGGTGTGAGTGTTGCAAGAGAACCAGAATTTGGATATGTATCTGAGTCACTGCTTCTTTGGCTGGTGAAACTCGTGTATGACATAGTTGGATTCTTTAGAGAGTTGCTGTCTGCTGCTTATCATAAACCTATTCTGAAGACTAGTTTACAGAGTAGCATTGGCCTTGGAATAGGCTGTAAAACGGTTAGGACTGGTTCAGAAATCTCAAATATACTTAGTTGCTTATTTCTATACTTTTAAAATTGTTTTTGTGATCTTCGTATTGCAACGAACCCACATGAACATGTCCCAGAAAGTTTATTCCTCTCCCCCTACTGATTTCCTATTTTGAGTCCACATTGCTGAGTCAACTATCCCATTATATTTCTTAGTAGGTCTATTTACTCCCTGTAAATAAATGTTTTTGTGTTTATAAATAAATGGGAGAAACCATATTGGAAACTAATCTTTGATTTTTAGTTTTAACTTTTATATAACTTTTGATTTTTATAGGCTTCCAGTAGTTTGGAGAACTTGACCTCCAAAGTGTTCTGCAGTAATTCTGAAGTTCCTTCTACTCTTGTAATAAAGGACAAGGCAGTTGTAGTGATGAGGGGAAACTGCACATTTGTGGATAAAGCGAGAACTGCTCAAAGTCATGGTGCTAAAATACTGCTGATTGCCAGTAAAACTGGTCTAGTAAGTTCTAACATTCTATGGCTTAATCTTTGTTAAAGTGACATTCTTAGTTGCAGTTATTGTATTTCAACCTCTGTGGTCATCTATTTTATATACTCAAACTACTAGATGAAAAGGGTTATCTTTGTTATTTTCTACTAATTTTAGTTGCATAATCTTTTAAGTGAAAATTTTACATTTTATTAAGCATTAATATAATCCAGTACCTGTACACAATCATTGCTACAGAAAACAAAATCACTAAAAATATCAACTAATACAGAAGAACAAAAAGAGAAAAATTGACAGTAACAACTGCAAGATAAGAACAGTTCTTTTAGATCATGTCTTATCACTTTGCCAGACATGCATGTCCTATTTTTCTTGCTCTTTTAAAATATTGGATAGCTTTTTATGTACATTATTCTTGCATTTGCAGTTTGCGCAAATACATTTCTATACAGCAAAATACAATATTAATAGTGTATCATCATTAATAATTGTTAGTTTAAAAAAACTGAGTTAAACTTGTTCTAAAAGGTGGGTTATCAGAGTCAAACTATTGAGTTTTGATTATCTACATAAAATCATAAGACATTTACCAGAACATCTCTGGGTCTATAATGTCAGCCTTTCAGTGTCTGTAGCATAGTTTTCCGTAAAATGTCTGAGAGTTTTTCTCTATAGCTTTGAATCGTGTCTGCTGATTTTTGTTTGTGAACATAAATACTGGCATTCAGAGGATAATCTGCATATAGAGTTGTGTTCTGCAAATACGCTATCAAGTCCTCTCATATTGGTTTTTTGTTTTAGTCTTCTCTTTCAGGTAACAAGACTGATGTACAAAATGTAACCATTCCAGTTGCTCTTGTAAGATATAATGATATAATGGATATGCAGCAGGTAAGTGACACAAATCATAAATGATTACAGTATTTTATAATTTTTTTTCATAATTACATTTAGGATCTGTCATTTATCAGGTAGTGCCCAGTTAGGCATGCATGTTTATATTTTTTCATTGAGTCAAGTGTTTAGACAATATCTGTCTTCTATCTTCATTTTCAGAGAAAGGAGATTGAGATTTCAGTCATGAAAGCAGTAACTTGCTCTTTGACTCTTTCAGGCTAATCTGTAAGAGTGTTCCTTCAGCTTATAGTATAGAGCAGACTTTATTTCAGTTGTCCATTTGTTCATGCACTGGGATCTGTTTTTACACTTTATTGAAATGTACAGATTAGAAAAAGACTGACACTGAATTATAAGAGAATATAGAACTGAAAATGTCATGACCAATAGCCAGCAACTCTTCCTTTTGACATATGGGATACTGTATAGGACAAAACAAACATTACATGTGAATTACTTTTATTATAGTGTGACAATGCAATATATAATACTAATGTTCCAATAACAGGTAGCAGTTGACTTTTCTTTCATGTTATATACAACCTTGATTATCTGAAGCTCAGTAATTCAAAACAAGGTAATTTTCCTGAGTTCTATTAACTGCATCAAAAGTTACTTCAGATTTCCAAATGTATTCAATGCCCCTTCATGTTCAGATAATTGAGATTATATTTTTCTGAAATTTGTGATATTTCTTGAATAGAAAGTAAAATAATCATCAATATGTTGCTAGCACACTCCATTCATTCACTATTGAATCCTCCCTTCCTCATCTCCACTGGCAACTCCACTGTACAGTAACTCCTCACTTAAAGTCGTCTTGGTTAATGTAAGTTCATTGTTACGTTGCTGATCAATTAGAGAACATGCTTGTTTAAAGTTGCACAATGCTCCAATGTTTGGCAGCCGCCTGCTTTGTCCACAGTTTGCAGGAAGAGCAGCCTGTTAGAGCTTGCTGGTGGGGGCTTGGAACCAGGGTGGACTGGCAGCCCCCCTAAGTTCCCTGTGCAGCAGCCACCCAGCAGGCTATCAATTGCTGGCAGTTCAGCTGTCCCTCCCCCAACTGCCATGTGCTGCTCCTGCCCTCTGCCTTGGAGCTGCTCTCTGGAGCCTCCTGCTTGCTGTGCAGGGGAGGAAAGGAGGGCTAATGTCAGGGTGTCCCCCTCCTTCCTCCTCCTGCACCCTGCTTACCCCATTTCCAAAGAGCAGGGGGGACACACGGCAGGGCTCAGGACGGAGGGAGCTTGCTGGCAGGAGCTGCTGTCTCAACTTGCTGATCTATTTAAAAAGGCAGTGTACTTAGAATAGAGTCAGCGTACTTAAAGGGGCAATGCGCATCTCTCTCTCTGACACACTGTGTGTGTGTGTCTCTGTCTCGGTCTGTCATGCTGTCTCCCCTCCTCCATTCATAATGCCTTGTAGAGTGTGAGGCTACATTAAAAATAATGTGTTAAGCCTTGAGGGCTCAGCCGATTGCTAGTTCATCATTTAGCAGTAAGGCATTCCCCGAGGAATATCCCACCCTCTGACTTCACCACCTCAGCCAAGCTTCACAATCATCATCGCTGTGTACCAGTATTAAATTGTTTGTTTAAAACTTATACTGTGTGTGTGTGTGTGTGTGTGTGTATATATATTTATTTCCCTGGAACCTAACCCCTCCTATTTACATTCATTCTTATGGGGAAATTGGATTTGCTTAACATCGTTTCACTTCAAGTCGCATTTTTCAGGAACGTAACTACAACGTTAAGCGAGGAGTTACTGTATTCCCTGTGGCCAAACTTGCTTGTCATGTTCAGTTCCTTGTTCTTCTCCCAGATCCAGGCTATTCACAAATCTGTTTGCTCTTCCTCTGCATCATCTCTGATATGTCTGTCCTTCTGTGTTCCCACTGCAGAATTTCTTTTCCATGCCATGGTTATGTTTTACTACTGCAGCTTCCTCCTTTTGTGTCTGCTTGTTTTTGTACAGTTCAGATTACTTTGACAGCACTAAATATATTATAGTGGACTAACAGGTACATGGGCCAGGTGTACAACTTCTCAAGTTGTTTAAGGGGTCAAGAAGTAGTATCATCCCTCCTTGGCGTGCCTAGTGTACTCCCACAGACCTGGAAGCAACCTATAATTCATGCTATGTCTCCTGCATTGCGGTGGAAAATGCTGTTATCCTACTATATCAATTCATTATAAGTATATAACGTTACAGTTTCAGGGTAACGGCACCTCAGACCCACGCTGTGGTCTGCTCTATGGCTGCCCCCTTAGGTCTCAGGCTTCTGTCACCTCTCTCTGGGCAGGGACCTGTGCCCTATCCCCTCAGATCTGGAATTTAGGCTGCAGTCCCCCTGCAATTCACTGTGATTATCCCAGCAGGTCTGACCTAGCTCAGCACCTGCAGTTCACTCTCTTTCTCTAGGAGCAATGACAGTGGCCAAACCAGTTTTCACAGAGCACAGTACACTTATTTTAGGACAAAACCATTACACAGAAAAACTATAACAAAACAATAAACAGTCTAAACACATGCTGAGTTTACCAGAGGTCGCCCAACTTCCATGTGGGGATGTAGTAGGTCAAATTCCTTCAAACCCTTTGAGTAGGGTTTGCCCCCTTCGTTAAAGGTTTATGTCCATTGTTGGATCAAAATCAAAGCTGCTTAGTTAGTTCAGGCTAATGCTTTACATGGTTTTGGGGCCTTTGTTTCCCAGGCCTCCTGAAACAGGTAAAACTAGTCAGTGCCCCTTTCCTTTAGCAGCGAAGCTTCAGCAGCTGGGTATCTGGATAACAGCATTGGGATTTTGCATTAATCACCCCCTAGTAGTTCCAAATTCCACAATGTGACACTTCCGGGGTTACCCAATGTTGGGAGACACCTTGCTACCACCTGCCCTTAGTGTGAGGAAACCGTGTATGTGTCTGCCAGGGATCAGCTGCTTGACCGTCACAGTCACAGCAACACAAGTGTTCTCAACCCATGTGGGCTCCGCTGTCTGTCATGCACACCAACATGCTATAGGTACACTCCAACCCCTGAGTCCTTCAAGCATCTCCCTATGGTGTTCAGCCCCTTACCCTGGACACTCACAGAATTACCAGGCCTGCTGTTCCCAAGGGAACAGTACTCCACAGCCAGGGCCGGCTCCAGCTTTTTTGCCACCCCAAGCAGCGAAGGGAGAGGGGGGGGAAGGAAGATAACGCCGCGATGGGCGGCACTTCGGCGGCAGCTCTACCGCGCTGCTTCATTCTTCGGCGGCAATTCGGTGGCTGGTCCTTCCCTCTGAGAGGCACTGAGGGACTTGCTGCCAAAGACCCAGATGTGCCGCCCCTTTCCATTGGCCGCCCCAAGCACCTGCTTCCTCCGCTGGTGTCTGGAGCCGGCCCTGTCCACAGCTTACTAGTTGCACCTTAGAACAAAGCTCTGCTCAGTATACAGCACTTAACTTGTAATTTTCTTTATTTATAAACAAGTCTTTTTTTAACAAAGAACAGAGATTGATATGGTAGCAAACAGAAATATTCCAAATATTTTTGTATGGAAAGGGTTCCATATAAGAGAAAATCCTAACAAGCATTCTAAAGCCTAAACTCAACTAACAAGATGCCTTCTTGTCTAATAAGATACTGCTTAACCTAAAGTCCTTGTTGCAGTGTGACCAGGATGGCCAAGACCCTTCTTTCATGAGGCCAAGCACACTGGCAGCCTGCCTCCCCCTGGTGAAGGATAACTTGGGCTTGATCTGCTTCCCAGATGTAGTTCCAAAAAATCATTGTCTTTAATCCCAAATGGGGTAACCCCTGCTGTTTTTGTTTTTTACTGCAGTGCCTGCAATCTGTTGACTAGCATTTTGCTCAGACTATAAATGGGCATCCATTGTGAACCATACAAAACTCAGTTTGCACATGACCAGCCAGAGAAAGAGAAGCATTCCTCTCTTTCCAGCTCCCTGATGGCAGTGCGTGGATCACCTTTTGGTGACCTGCATTAACTCACAAACTTAGAGCATAATTGTTAGTATATATACATAACTCCTCACATATTTGCTGAACATACATCTCATAATCATTATGATGACCAGTATGACACAGGTCTTTTGCTGGAGACCTTACATGATGTTATATAGTGAACTAGTATGTAGATTTCAGACGCTGTAACCTTTATGCCCTCCCGTGCCCGCTGCCAATTGCCTCAAAACGGTCTCTGAGTCTCCTATGGGAAACTGAACCAGGAACATATCACACTTATTGATACAAAAGTTTTTAAAATATTCATAGACCTATGTCATTTGGAACATCTCAGTATAATAGTTTTTGAAATTTTAATGCTTCCAAGTCTGGCTCTCAAAAATGTAGATAACATTTTTAAAGTTGAAAAAATAGTCTCAAAGTTATGCCTATGTTGGGGGAGATGGGACAGATATGACCATAGAGAGAGGGTTGCTAGGGTGCCCGACCAGAATCTTAGCAGGACACACAGGTGTATTTCCTGGATGGTATGTCTGCCATGACCTCTTACAATTTCATGTTTCACCTACTTATATAATAAACATTCTCACAACAAGCAGGCATGCATGATTCACAGATCTGTATGGCACCATTTGATGACCATCCCATGTATTTTCTCTCTTTAGAACCTATGGGATGGATCTGCAGGGAGAGCTTTCATGCACTCCTGCTTGCCCTGGTCACCCCAAAACCTTTGGGTGAGAACTTGAGACTTGGTCCTCGCACTTCCAGCTCCCATGAAGCTTTCAGGGAGTGAAGATGCTAACCCTTTGTTCCTCAAAGTGTCAGCTGCTCCCATGATGGGTTGGGGATTTTCCCCACCCATACTTTCTTGGCATAGCCTAGGAAGCAATTCTTTGGAGGGAAGGGGGAACTACATTAGATCTTGCTCCGTGTGAAGTGGCTCTTAACCACACGCTGCTTTTAACAGCCAAGGGATCCCAGGTCGTGGGCAAGGGTATCTTCAATCCTCCCCCATAGCCAAATTCATTTATCTGCCTCAGAAATCAGGCCAGGGGAGTCCTGTAGTATAACCTCATTCTCTGGCAGGGGAGGAGGAAGAGTATTGATTTGATTCCTCACTCCACTGGGCTGGCCTTTTGTTCCTACACCAAGATGAGGCGAGCAGTGTTTTCTCCTCCACCTTGCTCAGAGCACTTACATTTTCACAGATCATTGGGCAGTCACAGACTCTGGAAAGAAAATCCCCCCTCCCAGGTCCTGGCTGTAGTAACCTCTGCAATATCCCAGGCAGCTGTTTTACACTTTACTTGAGTGGGTGACATAGTTTTGGCAGTGCTCTAGCTGCCTCAGTGTCCCCACTTTCAGCTGAAGACGTAGCCACCACTGTTCTGTCTCAGGGTCCCTTGTATGGATGGGCAGAGAATGATCCCCCTCGCATGGGCTCCAGGTCTCAGAGAATTTACCTTGACTGTCACTCTCCCCACCTCCTAGTATCAGGTATTTGTTTGGCTGTGCTGAGAAGGTGATTTGAGCTTAACGGGGCTTCCTGTATGTTACAGTTAGGAGTTAATTGACACCCCCCTCTCAGACCCTCCACTTGCATAGTCACTGACACCCTTACCTGCATGATTACAGATAGCTGTCAGCACCTGATACAGGCCTGTAGCTTTTACAAGGAGAAGGGGAGTGGGCTTTGTTTGAAAATTAGTGTCATTTCCAAGAAGCAGACCAAAAATAGTATCCTTTCATACACCTATAGCCAGCGCTCCTGACCCTTCCAGAAATCTGTGCTGCAGGTAGAGTGGAGGCTTTTACACCAGGAATTCTAAACCAGATTTCACAACCTTTCAGTGTTTCAGGGGCTTTCACTACTTGGGTTTTAATTATGGTCCCGGTGGTCTCAGAATGTCTTTCCATTAATTTTCACCTTCCTTTCCCACTGGGAACCAGATGGATCTGCACCAAGGAGGGTCAGCAGGACATGGGTGCAGTGATTTGAGGTGTATGCACGTCAGCATGCACATCATATGGAACAGGTGAACCGTTCCACTGAACTCGCTCCCTCTGGAGATTGAGTTACCCAATTAACTGTAAGGTTGGAGTGCAGGATGGCTTTGCAGGACTGCACTGGGTCTCAGTAGTCGGATTAGGAAATCCCGTGCAGTTTGTCACAGATGACATTGCTTTTCTGCATCTGCCCCAGGATTTCCTCTGAGGTGCCCTCTCTGCCTTGGAGCAGGTCCTCCCCTTTGAGTATGGGTCTCTGCTTGGGCCCAATCCAGGCTCTGTGATTCAGTTCCATCCCTATTAAGTTTTCTATCACTCCCAGGCTGAGCATTGGCTAATGGTCTGCCATTTTCCCCACTAAACACAATTTTCTAGGGCTTTTGTCTACTAACCATGATTTTAGGCCAGGGGAGGTCAGTTAAACTTTCACAATTAGGCTTTTTTACGTAGTTTATAATATTTATAGTCCTCTCTGTCTATATGGGTGAAAGCATCTAAGGCAGTGGTGGGCAACCTGTGGCCCATCAGGATAATCCGCTTACCCACTTTCTGGATTCTTCTAAGGATGCTCCTTCAGATCTTAAGCCTCTAGCCATTACTTCTCTCGGGTCAGGGCCATCGTCTGTCTCCCATCAGAACAGAGATGTAGGCTCTAGTCTTCCTGAAATACACTGTGATTATCCCAGAAAGTCGGATGTAGCTCAGCACCTGCAGTTAACTCTCTCCAGGAACAATGACAGAGTTACCAGTTATCAGACAGGTTTCACAGAGAACTGTACACTTATTTTCAGACATAAACATTGCACAGAAAATATGTAGGGTGTGAAGCTTCAGCAGCTGGGTATCTATTTCAGCACTGCATTAACCACCTCAAGTGATTTTTGCATTTACCACTCTCTAGTGATTCCAGATTTCACAGGAAACCCAAGCATAGAGCCAGGAACACACATATACACGTAACTTACTGATACAAAGGTCTATAAATATTCTATAGACCTCATATTGTTTAGTGTGTCTTAATAAAAAGTCTTTGACGTTTTCATGCTTCTGAGGTCTAACTCACAAAAATGCAGATAACATTTATAAAGTTGCTACAATAGACCCCAAGTTATATCTCTGTGTGTCATATCTGTCACGTAGAGTACATCTTCATACATAGTAGGTAGGTAAAATTGACACACTGACCCAGTTTGCAGCAGAATGTGAAGATAACATCTGATTTTTTAAAACGGGATAAGCACTGGATACTCTGCCTGTCATAAAGAGCCTATGCTGTTATATGTAACTGATACATTTATCATTTTTCAGGCCCTTGGAGCTAGGATTAATGTGGCACTCTATTCACCATCTTTGCCAGAGTTTGACTACAGTATGGTTGTCATCTTTCTAATTGCTGTGCTCACTGTGGCGCTGGGAGGCTACTGGAGTGGAGTATCAGAGCTGTAAGTTCCATTAAACCATATAATCTATTAAGCAATGTAAAATGCAGATCTAAATATCTGGTGGTAGTGGTAATGGATACGAGAGGAAGGATGGATGGTCCAGTTGTTGGGGCATCAGTCTGAGGTTTGGGAGACTGAGGTTCAATCCCTGTTCTGCCACAGATTTCCTGTGAGACCTTGGGCAATCATGGTCTCCCTGTGGCTAGGTTCTCCATTTGTAGAATGGGGATAGTAGTACTTCTCTACTTCAGAGGTTTTGTGAGAATAAATACATTAAAGATTGGGAGGTGCTCAGATACACATGGCAATGGGGACTATATAAATCTGCCACTTTTAGATATTGGCTTTAGCTTTTTATCTCTTTCACTTCAAAAATATAATTCACCTAATGTAGCGCTCTCCCAGGAACACTGGCAGGATAAAGTCCTATCCAGTTCTTTAAAAAAAATGATGATTCCCACACTAAAGAATTGGGCTAAGTTAAAAAAGAGAGAAGTCCTGAACTACTAAAAGGCATAAATCTAGCAAATAAATTAATGACATTGAAAGTGAAAGCCAGTAGAGAGAATAAGCCAATGTAAGAATATCCCCATACTGTTATGACACCTGATCACCACAATTTCATCTACATTCATTGCTCGCCATCAAGAAAGGCTGGCATGTCAGTTTATATTTTTTTTAAAACTGCATTAGGCATTAATAAATAACATTCTGCATAATCTTGAGAGTCCATTAAATGGTGCTAACCTCGTATATCTAGAAATGAGGCATAAAGCATGTGTAAGTTGACAATAAATACTTCAAAGGAAACTAGGATAGCAATTCATGCTTCAAAGGGGAAAATTTGCTGTGTAACTGAAGGTGGAGGAAAATAAAATTTGAATAGTCTTTTAAATCCTGTTCATGTACAGGATAGGGTGTGAATAAGTGTTTTGATTTGTCACAGCTGGCCAAATCCCCATGCAGGGGAAGGAGGTAATTAATTATGTGTTTCTGTGAAGAAAATGTAAGAATACTAGGAAATTTGAAAAGACAAACAGAAACTTCATATTAACCTTTGTGAGTAACTACAAAAACTTCATCTATCTAACTGCAGTAAAAATTATTCTGTTTTTACAGAGGGGAAACCCAGTAGGTATTCAGAGTGTAGTAGGAAGCCTTTTCTTAAACAAAGCCCCTATGCCAGATAAACAGCTACTGCGTCTATGGAATGCAGTATTTCACTACATCTACATTGATGGTGACACTGGCCAAACGAGCTAATGTGATCCTTGTCTGTATAAAACAGAAATCTCAAGCAGGAGTAAGGAGGTTACATTACCTGCCTTTAGCACTGGTGTAATTGTTGCTGGAATACTGTGTCCAGTTCTGGTGTGTCTAATTCAAGAGGGGTGTGGATAAACGGGGAAGGATTCAGAGAAGAGCCAAGAGAATGATTAAAGGATTGGAAAATGTGCCTTATAGCGATAAGCAGACTGAGCTCTTAGAGTCTATCTTAACAAAGAGAAGGTTAAGCTTGATTACCATCTAATAAGTACCTGCATGGGGATCAAAGATTGATAATAGAGGGCTCTTTGGTCTCACAGACAAAGGTATAACAAGATCTAATAGCTGGATGCTGAGGCTGCACACATTCAGGCTATAAATAAGGCACAATTTTTTTTAACAGTGATGGTAATTAACCACTGTAACAACTTAACCAATAATTGTGGAAGGTTACCCATCATGGGCATCTTTAAAAACAAGATTGGATGTTTTCTTAAAAGGATATGTTCTAGTTCAAATAGGAATTAGTTTGGGGGAGTTCTATGGCCTGTGTTATGCAGGAGGTGAGAGCAGATGATCATGGTGGTCCCTTCTGGTTTTTAATCTATGAATGTGTGTTTACTTCATGCTGAAAATAAACATATAGTGCCTGTCTATAAAAAGGGAAATAAAAACAACCCAGGAAACTATAGACCAGTTAGTTTAACTTCTGTGCCAGGGAAGATAATGGAACAAGTAATTAAAGAAATCATCTGCAAACACTTGGAAGGTGGTAAGGTGATAGGGAATAGCCAGCATGGATTTGTAAAGAACAAATCATGTCAAATCAATCTGATCGCTTTCTTTGATAGGATAACGAGTCTTGTGGATAAGGGAGAAGCGGATGATGTGGTATACCTAGATTTTAGTAAGGCATTTGATACGGTCTTCCATGATATTCTTATCGATAAACTAGGCAAATACAATTTAGAAGGGGCTACTATAAGGTGGGTGCATAACTGGCTGGATTACCATACTCAGTAATTATTAATGGTTCCCAATCCTGCTGGAAAGGTATAACAAGTGGGGTTCCGCATGGGTCTGTTTTGGGACTGGCTCTGTTCAATATCTTCATCAACGACTTAGATATTGGCATAGAAAGTACACTTATTAAGTTTGCGGATGATACCAAACTGGGAGGGATTGCAACTGCTTTGGAGGATAGGGTCATAATTCAAAATGATCTGGACAAATTGGAGAAATGGTCTGAAGTAAACAGGATGAAGTTTAATAAAGACAAATGCAAAGTGCTCCACTTAGGAAGGAACAATCAGTTTCACACTAGGAAGGAGTACAGCAGAAAGGGATCTAGAGGTTATAGTGGACTGCAAGCTAAATATGAATCAACAGTGTGATGCTGTTGCAAAAAAATCAAACAAGATTCTGGGATGCATTAACGGGTGTGTTGTGAGCAAGACACGAGAAGTCATTCTTCCGCTCTACTCTGCACTGGTTAGGCCTGAACTGGAGTATTGTGTCCAGTTCTGGGCACCGCATTTCAAGAAAGATGTGGAGAAATTGGAGAGGGTACAGAGAAGAGCAACAAGAATGATTAAAGGTCTAGAGAACATGACCTATGAAGGAAGGCTGAAAGAATGGGGTTTGTTTAGTTTGGAAAAGAGAAGACTGAGAGGGGACATGATAGCAGTTTTCAGGTATCTAAAACCTGAAAGGAGGAGGGAGAAAACTTGTTCATCTTAGCCTCTAAGGATAGAACAGGAAGCAATGGGCTTAAACTGCAGCAAGGGAGGTTTAGGTTGGACATTAGGAAAAAGTTCCTAACTGTCAGGGTGGTTAAACACTGGAATAAACTGCCTAGGGAGGGTGTGGAATCTCCATCTCTGGAGATATTTAAGAGTAGGTTAGATAAATGTCTATCAGGGATGGTATAGACAGTATTTGGTCCTGCCATGAGGGCAGGGGACTGGACTCGATGACCTTGCGAGGTCCCTTCCAGCCCTAGAATCTATTAATTAATTCAGTATGGCTTAGTGGGGTTTTTCCTTCAATTTTTTTCCCCCCTCTTCAATCACTTCTTCACTTGGGCTGAGTTTAAATCCAATCTTATCAGTTGATGAGTCCATATCCTATACAGCTGGAAGCATAAACCAGATCTCAGGTCTTCCATACTCTATCTCAGAGTTTAGGCGGAGAGCATTAGGCTAAGATGGGCATATACCCCTGGGTCTGTGGTGGAAGAGAATTGGCTGAAGTTTTTCTCTTTTGTTAGAATTGGACTGAGAGAAATCATTCCCCCCTGCTGTTTCTTTTTAGAGTGGGGCGAAATAGTATCCCATTGAAGGGAGTATGCATATAGCAGATGTTGGTGGCTTTGTGTAAAGACTTGTCTGAAAAATGGAAGCCCGCAGGTGGGAGAGCAGAAACATTGAGAGAGTGTGGACAGTGCTTGTCTTTCATGGAGAGAGCAGTCATTTATCTAGGAGTTGGGGATGAATGCTTCTGGGAAACAGGTATGCAAGGCAGTGTTTCCTGGGAGAGAGTGGGTCTCTCTCTGGAAGTAAAATGTGTAGTTAGTGTCTCTACATGGGGAGAAAGTCACTAGATACTGCTGTCATTGGAGACAAAAGAGAAACTGGCCATCAGCAGCCTTTTTTTACTTCTCTCTTCAGAAATCTTCCTAAGCAGAGGCTTGTGGCATACACCAGCCCATGTGCCTCTTGTTCCTCTTTGGCATATACTTCCATATCAGTAACATTGGGAGTTTCCCTTATCTGCCTATCTGGGTGGGGTTTTTAGCCACATTTAAGAATAACTGTGATGTGACACAGTTCTTGGAGAAAGGATAGCTCTGTAAATAGAATTGAGTTACCAGTTAGACGATTATGTTGCCAAATAAACTATAACTGGATTTTTGTTTACATATTTTAATATCTCTGCTATCCTCCCCTGCTTCTGCCCCAACTCCTACTTACTCTACAGTTTGTGCTCTCCCACACCCTCCTCTTTCAGCCCCCTCCACTCCTCTGCCCTGGCTTCTTCCCTGTCCACTCTGAGCACCTCACTAGGTACTTGCTGACCTGAGCCCTTTCCAGATCCTGCAGTCACTTACTCCCCTAACCCTCCAAACTTCTGTCCCCTCAATCCCGCACTACACCCATCCTTTAAACTGCTTCTGTCCCCCTGGGAGTCGTCTTGAGAGGAGGGGCCTTGACAACCCTTTCCCCACTACAGGCTGCTGGGGGTGACTGGCTGGCCTGTGCCCCATCTTCTTTCTTCAGGGTAGCTGCCAAGGAGAGCCACTGCCCCTCAATTTGATGAGATACCACTATCCGGGGAGGCATTCTTCCCTGTCTGCTGGTCCAGTGCATCTGGCTCCCACACTTAGCCAGCTGAGCTCTACAAGCCAGCCTTTTTAAAGGCAGAGGCGGAAAGCCACATCCACAGCAGGCTGGGGATTCCCTTTGGAGGTGGCCCATATATGAGCAGAGGGAATTCTCTGACACTGAGGCCTGTTCTACACTTGGGGGGGATTCGATCTAAGTTACGCAACTTAGGCTACATGAATAACGTAGCTGAAGTGGACGTACTTAGATCGACTTACCGTGGTGACTTCACTATGGTGAGTTGACTGCTGCCGCTCCCCCGCCCACTCTGCCTGCGCCTCTCGCTGAGCTGGAGTACAGGAGTCGACAGGAGAGCGCTCAGGGATAGATCGCTGTCCACCGATCTGGCCGGTAGTGAAGACACACCCTAAGAAAAGGATTTGAAAGGGGCTTGAATGAGGGCTTCCTGCAGGATTAGGGCAAGGCCCACAAAAAGGTAAGGGGGGGACTAATTTCCTTTTGGGGGAAAAGGGTGGCAGTTAGGGGTGCACTTAGTGCGGAATGAGGGGCATGTCTACACTTAAAACGTTAGAGCAGCACACCTGCAGCTGTGCCGTTGTACTGCTTCAGTGTAGACACTGCCTATGCCAATGAGACGGGTTTGCCATCAGCGCAGGTAATCTACCTCCCAAAGAGGTGGTAGCTAAATTGATGGAAGAATTCTTCTGTCAACCTAGTACTGTATGTCGGGGGTTAGGTTGGCATAGCTATGTCTCTCAGGAGTGTGGATTTTCCCCTGAGAGAGGTTGGGGAAATAGAAAGTGGAAACAGCTTTTTTTGGGGGGGGGTGGAGCCACATGTTGTATGCAGGACTCAGTCTATATTCAAAGTGTCAAAAATCCAATAAAATACAACTCTACCCCGATATAACACAAATTCAAATATAACGCAGTAAATCAGTGCTGGGGGGGTGGGGGGGGGCTGCACACTCCGGTGGATCAAAGTGAGTTTGATATAGCGCAGTTTCACCTAGAACGCAGTAAGAATTTTTGGCTCCCGACGACAGCATTATATCGGGATACAGGTGTATGAGGTGTCACTTCATTTATTGGGAAACCTATGAAGCTAATGTGTCTTTAAGAAACATGTTAAAATCGGCACATCTTGAAAATATGCTTCTCCAGATTTGTAAGCCACTAACTTAAAACCAGTCCTCACAGGAAGTATGTAATACACCTAGGAAATTCTTTTTCCTGTTGATTTTGTAAGATAACTATTGCCTTTTCAGCATGTCAGCATTTGTAGATACATTGGCCTTGGGATTGGGGGGAGTGTGATGTCTGACAGGGAAAATTTCACGAGCGTCCCATACCATGAGAGAGGTAGTTTGCCTGTATGGTTAAAGGGTTTTAGTTGTTTTGTTTGGTGCAACACTTCAACAGTTTCAGTGTAATTATTTCTTCTGGTAAGGGGTAAATATGGAGCACCTTTGTATTATAACCTTGAAGAAATGTTACTTTTAATGACACTGCTTTCTTTCTCTTTCCCTCCCTGTTTAATTATGGACTGTAGAGGCAGAAAAACTGGTGGTTGACTGACTGGATTTTGCTGACAATAATGTTGTTGCAGACACTTAATGAGATGGAACAAGTTCCAAAACACTTACCAGATCTTGTGCCTGTCAGTGACAGATATATTTTCAGTGGTTTTGAGTTCTTGGGCTAAATTCACTGCTGACTTAATCAGGAAAACGCCACTAAAATCAGTGAGGCTGCTTTACACTAGAAAATTAGATTGACCCAGATGTGTTGCTAGGGTGTGAACTGTCGCTCAGGGGTGTGGATTTTTAAGCCAGTCCAAGTCCCTGTCTAGACAGTAGTATATTGACGGATGAACCCTTCCTGTTGGCAAAGGTAGTGTCTACACTGAGCGCTACAGCGGCACAGCTGCAGCTGGGCTGTTGTAGTATTTCAAGTGTAAACTAGCTGTTACTCTGGTTTTATACTAATGCAGATGGTAGCAGAGTTTGGACCAGTGGCTGCTAAAACAGAAGGCATGAGAGGTTCCTTCCATTTAAGACTGTTCTTTTAGAGCTAACTTGGACTTTTTTGTTGGAATATTTTCTTTAAAGTTTGACCCTCCCTTTTCTCAAAAACAGAGATTAATAGAAGGAATTAAATATTTCATCCTGACCTATTGTGGAACAACAGCATGGACCTATAGAAAAGTAAAGTCTTGGGGGAGAATTTCAAAGGATATGATAGGAATTTGGTATACCATTTTCTTTCAACTTCGTATTTTTCTGCAGTAATAGCATTATGAAAGATCAGAATAAATACTCAAGTTTTTTTCTTTTCAGCTATCAAATCTTAATGTTCTGCCTGATCTACCCTTACAGCTATGTGGGTTATTTTCCAAATCAAAACCAGCTTCAGCAAGTTAGTTCAGCATATGCCCAGCTTTTGAAGTCTGTGGCTCTATTCACATGCTTAAAGTTAGGCATGTGATTAATTACCTTGCTGAATTGGGCCACTAGTGACTACTTAAATCTTAATATAACAAAAATTGGGCGTAAGGTAAGCACTTTGTTTTGAAGTCCACGTTCAGCGTCTATAACTGAAATTTTTTTTGTCTATACAGTGAGGATTTAAAGGCAGTGGTAAGCCCTGAAGACAGAGAAACAAGAAGAAAGAAAGAGGAAAACGTTACTTTCACCCCTCTAACGGTTATCATATTTGTGGTAATCTGTTGTGCCATGCTACTCTTACTTTATTTCTTCTACAAATGGCTAGGTAAGAAATAATATATAATCTCATTTGATTTCTTATTTAAATATATTTTCTCCTTGAATGCCATTGTTAAGTTTTTTATGGAATTTAGTTTTATTTCAGAGTCGGAGTCAAAGTTCAGCTAACTTTTTTCTTTTTAAATAACTCCCCCCTCAATTTACTGAGGGAGCAGAGTAAGGTGAGTTATTTATTTAAAAAAAAAAAACGGGGGGGGAGAATGGAGAGGGAGCAATATCTCTCTCTCTCTCTCTCTCTCTCCATGTCTCCCCCCACGTGCCAATTTGTTTCTCCATTAAGGTTGCCAAGGCAATAGTTATTTTGGATAAAGTATATGTGAGAGACGGTCCCTTGCCTTGATGGTTTTAAAAAAAAAAAAATAGTAGAGCATACGATACCCCTTGCTCATCCTTGTAGAGGGAACATGGTAGCTGAATACTTGGAGCAACTGCTTACCTACATTAATGAGTTGTATCTAAACTCGCTTTGGATTTGTAGTTTCATCAGACTCCTTGTAGTAGGGCCAAATGGCCTAAGTAAACCAGGTCTAATTGGACAGAGTTGGACATGCTACCAATGACATAGTTATCTTCCAGATGATGCAATCCCAAGGAAACTTTTGCGTGATCCCCTACTATTTTTTCCCTGCCTCATTCGGTGGGTTGTGTAGTGAATGAAGCTGGTGTCTGCAGGATCCCTGCCTCATTTGTTACAGAAGCTGGAAGGGGTATAGTGATTAAGCAAGGGATAGCAGGAAGAGAAAGAATGGTCTGGTGATTAAGGCAGTTGAATGCTGCCCTGGAGAACTGGATTTTATTCCTGCCTCTGCCACAGAGTTCTGTGTGATATTGAGTGTAACTGGGTGGTCTATCCCTTTTACAGCCAGGAACCTGAGGCCAGCCAGCTCTGTTCTTAGGGAGAGCCCCTTGAACAGCATCAGGACCTGGTAGAAATAATTTCAGACCCAGCTGGGAAGGGATTAGGTGATTGCCTGATGGATACCTGATTCCTATAAAGGCTGGAGAAGCTACAAGAAGGAGATTGGCTCCTATGTCAGGCCCTAGAGCAGTGGGACTACCGTGGCCTATAGGAAGAGTTGCCAGGGGCAGAGATGATCTGGCAAAAAGTCCCTTGTCAGGGGAAAGTTAGCTGATGGATTTATGTTGAATTGGTTTATTTTGTGGTTTTCTGAAGATCATCAGTGCACCCAATAAATGGTGTCCTGAAGAAAGGGCCTGAACAGACTCTGGGCATGGCGTTAATCCTTCCTGGGCTGGGGAAATGTCTTGCCCAAAATTTCTATAGGTGGCCACTGTGTGTTCCTGATTTTCTGGGTTGCCAACTTGAGACTCCTGGGATCTGATTTGCAGAAGTACTGAGTATTCACAACTGCAACAGAAGTCCATGGGAGTTCTTTTCTGAACACACTAAGTACTATAAATGCAAAGTACTTGGAAAAATTAGGTTCTAGGTGTGATGGGATCTCTGGGGTGCAGCCTGGGACTGTGGGACCGCTGTGCTCCCTTAACTCTCCAGCATGGGCTGTCTCTCACAATGCTTTGCTAGTAACGAGCAGCAAACCCCTCCAGGTGCTGTTATCATTCAGCACAACCACATGTGGACCCCAAACCCAGCTAGATTGCTTGAATGCTCCTAGAGCCACTCATGAATCACACAGAGAAAGGCACCAGCCAAATTCCCCCAGTTTTGTACCTCAGGAATGTACCATCTTGCATTGCTCAAGCTGAGCAGTGCAGATTTATTAATTGGTTCACCACTTCATCGATTGAAAGTGGATATACACCAGCCTTTGTAAACCTGAGCAAACACCCTTACCAAACACTTCAGGCAAACTCACTGGTAAAGATAAACAGTTAAATTTATTGACTACAGAAGATACTTTTTCCCTATCACTTATAATCACTTAAAAACTAAGAGTTAGATACCAAAAGAAAAGAAAATATAAGCAGGCAGTCTAAAATCTCAACCCTATTAGACTGGGTAACATCTAGATCAGGGGTCGGCAACCTTTCAGAAGTGGTGTGCCGAGTCTTCATTTATTCACTCTAATTTAAAGTTTCGCGGGCCAGTAATACATTTTAACATTTTTAGAAGGTCTCTTTCTGTAAGTCTATAATATATAACTAAACTATTGTTGTATGTAAAGTAAATAACGTTTTAAAAATGTATAAGAAGCTTCATTTAAAATGAAATTAAAATGCAGAGCCCCCTGGACTGGTGGCCAGGACCCGGGCAGAGTGAGCGCCACTGAAAATCAGCTCGCATGCTGCCTTCGGCACACGTGCCATAGGTTGCCTACCCCTGACCTAGATTAATCAGTTTCTCACCCCACTGGATATTGCAGTTCACAGTACACAGATCTCACTCTTGAAACCTGGGCCAGTCCCCTCTGTTGGAGTCTTCAGTTTCTGAGTGTCCTTGTTGCTTGCAGCATAGGTGGGGGAAGGAGAAAGGCCGAGACGTTGGCCTTTGTGTTCTGTTTATATCCTTAGTCCACGTGCTTGGAGAACACAAGTCCAGGTATTTCTGGTGGGCATTGCTGAGTCTCCAAGCAAAGTTGAGCAATTCCCCTTATGCAGTGTGGCCTTATGCAGGTGAATCATTGAATTGTAATTCCCTTGCTGGACAATGGCTGTTGATAGTTGTGCCTCAGTTCGCCATGTGCAAAATGGGGATGGTAGTACCACCTTAGCTCACAGGGAGGTTAAAATTAATTAGTGTGTAAAGAGCTAAGATGATATGATGAAAGCACCATAGAGACACCCGTGAAGGAACTAATAAGCCTGTATACAGTGCAGGGTTTGGATGGTGTGCAGTAAATAATATATAGGATCATATATTAAATGGCAAGGATAAAAATAAATATTGAATAGCTATCCATTCAGAGAGCACTATCCATCCTGTGTGCTGAATGAGGCAGGGGTTCTGTAGGAAAAAAATGGTATAATTGTGTAATTGAAGACTGCATCATAATGCATATCTACAAAGAGGCTGAATTAAGGTTGCTCATGCAACCATAATAATTCTGGCACTTCCAGCTTTTGAGTGCATGTCTTTGCTACCTTAGTGTATTTGTTATATAAAAATACCTAATATAGGTTGCTTCTGGGTCTGTCTTTATTCTAGGCTTCTGGGTTGTTTGGTAAATTCCTTCCACATATCTGAATTTAGATGGCATTCTTGAGGGTTTTATTTGACATCCTTCCAATAGTTGGAGTGAACTCCTTCAGCAGGTTCATGTTGTGGCCTAAATGGTTTAAAAACCAGGACATTCAAATCAGATGCTAATGCTCTAATTATCTGATGGGCGTGGAGGAAAAACAAACAAATAAGATAGTATATTGAGGGAGTGTCCACCATAACCTTATATTTCTTGAATTTTAATGGTTTCTATTACAACCATGGAACCTATTCACAAGCAATTATTCACCTGGGTAACTTCACCCATGTGTAAAGTTGCACAGGTGCATTGATTCTTGTAGGTTAAGGCCCAGAGATGTCTAAATGGAAGAAGGGTTTTTTGGTATTTGATCATTTTTATGGTACTATAAGAGGAAATTATTTTGAGGTACATAGTAGAACACACATTTAGGCTTGAATAAATAATATTCATGCAACACTGTCTAAAAATATATTAAATGTTAATTACATGATTAATACATGTGTATTTTGGTATAAATATTCTTTTGAGGAAAATCATATGCATATTAAGCCTGGTTATATGTAACTGACTCATGAGAAACCTATTGTGTAAATCCTTATTCTACACACTGATGTCTTTGTGATGCTCTGCTCAGGACCGGGCTGCCCAGAGGATTCAGGGGGCCTGGGGCAAAGCAATTTCAGGGGCCCCTTCCATAAAAAATAAGTTGCAATACCATAGAATACTGTATTCTCGTGGGGGGCCCTTGTGGGGCCTGGGGTGAATTGCCCCACTCCCCCCCCCCCCCCCGGGTCGGCCCTGGCTCAGGACACCCAGAAGTGAAAGCCACTGTGTTAACTCTCTGCCTCAGCAAGTGAGAGTTGTGCTAAACTCTTGTCAGCTCCCTGACACTCCAGGCTGTCTGCCTTGCCAGCAAATTCCTTGAGATTCTGCCAGGCTAAACATTGCCTTGCAGGTAACAAGCAGTGAACCCCAAGTTCCTAAGTTGCCCAGAGACATCTCCCTCTCAGAAATTATTAAATTTGCTGCCTCCAAAGAGACAGGGCACAAATCCGCCTGTTAGCTTACCTGAAAATTCACACTTTCTTCAGTACAACAGCATTGAGGTTTATAGTTTATGTAAAACTAAGAATAAGTTGAGTGATTTAAGTGATACTAAGCAAGAGTAAAAGAGACAGGTATGGTTACAAACAAAACAAACCATGCTTTCTAGTGACTAAAATTAAATTTTTAGCAAGTTACAATCTTTGCCTATTCAGTTTTCTCACTTGCATCAGGTTACCAGCATCTCTAGCTCCCCAGGCTGGAGGAGCCAATTTTTACAGAATCCTAGGATGCTGTCCCCTTTGTTCCCTAAGTGATGGAAAACTAAAATGTCTTTTTGCTCTCCTCGTATTTCCTCAAAGTCCATTGTCTTTGTCCCACAGTGTGCTCACTTAGCTGTTTTCTGCTTAACTTGATTGCTTTGTTTGCGTTATATATACATGTACTTTCATTGTCCTCTGCTGATCAGACAGGTAAATCCCCATTCCTTTGTCCAGGGCAGGCTTGTTTTATGCACTGTCTCTCAAATATGTTTTAAGAACATATTTTCAGTACGCATACATAATTCTTCATACACAACCCATACATACATCATGCAATGAAATTCCTGACCAGTGCATCGCCAGTTTACATACAATATCTTACAAGATGCCTTTTGGAAACACTAGGATGGCAGTATGTTGGGGATAGTGAGTGTGTCAGGCCTGTTATTGAGATATCCCATCTCCTAGAACTGGAAGGGACCCTGAAAGGTCATCAAGTCCAGCCCCCTGTCTTCACTAGCAGGACCAAGTACTGATTTTGCCCCAGATCCCTAAGTGGCCCCCTCAAGGATTGAACTCACAATCCTGGGTTTAGCAGGCCAATGCTCAAACCACTGAGCTATCCCTGCCCCCAAATGAGTTATGAGTTACAGTATAGTGGGCCCTCTGCCAGTGGGCATTGAGGGGCTCGGAGGGGCACAGGCTTGGTAGAGCATAATAGGTCCTTTAGTGTTTATTCCAACTATTGGGCATGTCTGTGAAGTACCCATTTCTATCAAAGTCTAACTTTCTTAGCTGCTCTTATTGAAGTAAGTGGGAGTTTCACCACTAACTTCCATGGCAACAGGCATGAACCCTTCATTTGGTAGGATAAGACTGACTGGGAAACAGTGTAACTACAAATAATTATTATGTCTTATTTGCTTGTTCACTTTTTCAATTTTTCTGTTGCCTCTCCAAAACTCTAGGGACTTCTCAAAATTTGAAACGCAGAATTAATAACACACAATTTTTAGTACAATATTCTAGTTCATCAGTTTTTTCCAAATGAGAGATACCTAGTTAAATAGAGTATCTTTAATTTCCTATCTCATAAGAACCCACCTGAATAACTTTCAGTCCTCAGCTCCAGAGGCGCCGACTTTCTGATTTCCTGTGGGGTGCTCTAGCCCTGCTCTGTCCCTGGCTCCACCCACACTCTACCCCTTCCCCCAAGGCCCCACCCTGCCCTGCCTCTTCCCACCCTGCTTCTCCCCATTCCGCCCCCTCCCCTGAGTGTGCCCCGCCCTCCCCTTCCACTGCCTCCTGCCTGCCGCTGAACACCTGATCAGCAGCAGGTGGGAGGTGCTGTGCGTGAGGGGGAGGAGCTGATTGGCAGAGCCCACCGGTGGTTGCTGAGCACCCACTGTGTTTTTTCTGTGGGTGCTCCAGTCCTGGAGCACCCACAGAGTAGGTGCCTATGCTCAGCCCCTCCACCTGTGAAATCCCAGCTTTCCTAAATGGCTGCAAGAAAAGTTGAGTCCTGGAGTGTGCACACAAGGTTTACAAATCTAGGCTCTGATGTTCCAAGGATGGGGTTGTTCTATTTCTTAGTGGCATTGGTGCAAAGAAAACCATGTGTAAGCATGAACTTTATCTTTCCTTTAAAAATGATGTTTAAAACGTTAAAATTCAAGTCTCTAGTTGATAGGAATTTTTACAGCATGGTACAGACCTTTGAAGTTTCAGTATTTGTTTTATTGAAAACCTGTTGATACAATCTTGACTTAAAGAGGCATGAGTAATGTCACTATTCTGTTACTGTTGTCGCAGGTATTTCCTAGCTCTTGGCTCCTTCCTGCCAGAGCATCTTTGTGTTGTATACATTTTGTCACTTATTTATTTTTCATTTTTCTTCCTTCTAGTGTATGTAATAATATCAGTTTTCTGCTTGGCATCTGCAATGAGCCTGTACAACTGTCTTTCTGCACTAATTAGAAAAATATCATTTGGGCAATGCAGGTATTGTACATCTCTTTACCTTCTTATGGTTTATTTGTTTTGGATATTTTTCTGTAGCTACTAAAACTGCTGGGAGGAAATGTGCTAATGGTTTGAGAAACTACTGTAAGCTTTAAGCTTGCAGCTGCTTATGTACTGCATTCAATATTTTAGTTTTATAACACAAAGTAAGGGTGCCTAGGGGGTGAGATGCGGCTCTTTTTAATAAAACTTTAAAAATGCAAAACTTTAAAGTAATGGTTCCTGAGTAGTCCTTACTTACTTCATTAGGACTACTGTATCAGCAAGGAATACTAGCATAAAGAAATCTGGGATCCTGCAAAACCCATGGCTGAACAAACACACCTATGCTTTCTTGGCAGCAGTGGTGGGTTTAAATTATAATGTCTGAGATGTACTTTTCAAGCCGTGTGTTATGGTCATATGGTCTCATCTGTTTTCAGACATGCTGTGGAATTAGTGGTGAGCATGGAACTGCATGTATGGCATGTAAATGAGTCTGCCTGATTGCACATTCTTCCTATTCCACCAGTCTCATTTGCACTACATTTAATTATAATTTTCTCTCTTTAACCTGTTAAAAATGTTCCATGAACATTTCAAGCCATAACAGTCCTTCATTTGCACTGTTCTGTTAAATATTTTTTATTTCTCCAAGTTTCTATAATATACCGAAAGTCATCCAAGCTGTGTTTTGGATGCCTATCCCATAAATCTAAAATGCAAAACAAGCAAAGGATTGCCCATAGGTACCCATGCCTTTGGTTTTCTCCTGGGCTGTTGAGAGCTTTGCAGTGTGATTACAAAGTTAATAAATCTGGACTCTGGCGGAGCAAGTGGGCAGAGTGAGTTTCAAAATGAAGGACTCCTCATAGAGAGAGTGCAGGGCCGGCTCCAGGCACCAGCTTAACAAGCAGGTGCTTGGGGTAGCCAAGGGAGAGGGGCGGCACATGCAGCAATTCGGGGGCTGCAGGTTCCTCACTCCCTCGAGGAGTGAAGGACCTGCCGCCGCCGATCGTGGCTTTTTTTTTTCTTTTCTCCCCAATTGCTGTCGCGATTGCGATTGCGGCTCTTTTTTGCTGGAGCCGGTCCTGAGAGAGTGCCTTGTGAACACCTCTGTTGAATTTAACTGTGTATTTTATTTGTTGTGTTTATATTGTAGGCCTTTTTTTGTATTTAAGACAAATTAATTTAGCCATTTCATTTTTTAGGATTTCATGTTGCAACAAAAGTATTGAAGTGAGACTTATTTTTCTTGCTGGATTCTGCATAGCAACAGCTGTTGTTTGGGCAGTGTTTCGAAATGAAGATAGGTATGTGATGATTTTGGAAAAACTTTGTAAGATGTCATGACAATAACTCAAATATATAAATCATCAATCCATATAGAAAATCCTGCAGCACAGTGTCCTTTTTAAGTTTTTGTTGTTGTTAGTTTTTAAAAAGTATATAAAACTTCACTAAACTTAAACAGATGAATGAAAAGAACTGGTAAAATTAAAACAAACCTATACAAGTCATGTTTATATAGTTATTTGTAGTTACTAAATAAAGAAATTCATAGTGGTGTAAGGGGGAATCATAATTCCTTCTTACTTAACGGAAGAATAAATACTGAAAGAAGGAGAAGAAAGAAGGATGCAGAAACAGGAACATTTTACTTTTTTTGGAAAAGACTGACTAAGCGAACAGGTCTTCC